ACTGGGTTCAATCCTCAGCCCCACAAAAAAATAAAATAAAAAAAAAGACATTGTGCCCATATACACCTAAAAAATATTTAAAAAGAAAGAAAATAGTAAATGTTGTGTGTGGTGGCATATGCCTGTAATCTGGGGAGGCTGAGGCAGGAGGATTACAAATGCGAGGTCAGCTTTGGCAATTTAACAAGACCTTCACTCAAGATTTTTAAAAAGGCAGGAGAGGGGGGTTGGGGATATAGCTCAGTTGGTAGAGTGCTTGCCTCACATGCACAAGGCCCTGGGTTCAATCTCGAGCACCACAAAAACAAAAAAGGCAGGAGAGAGGATCAGGATGTAGCTCAGTGATAAAGTGCCCCTGTTTCCTATCCCAGTACCTTTTTAGGTGTAGATGGACACAATATCTTTATTTTATTTTTATTTTATGTATATGTATATATATAACATATATACATACACACAAAAATAAATCCCTATCTATCTCCCTGTGTTTAATGAGTGCAGCCACACATAGTACATGCTCTGTTGAATTAATAAGATACAATTCATGTCTGTGGTGTAATAGGAAATATACTTGTCTTTTTGTTCCTGGTACCTGTCAGAGAGCTCCTAAAACTTACAAATCCTGAGTGCTAGGAGTGCCTTTTGTTACTTCCAATGAATCTTGTGTGTGTGTGTTTTTCTGGGGGTTGAATCCAGGGGCTTGTACATGCTGGGCAAGTAATCTTACCACTGAGCTACCATCCTCAGCTCAATAATGAGTCCCTCTTAATCCCACCTGAGTTTATACTGTTGAGGTGATTATAGTGAGGGATGCTGGAGAGCCTTGGGATGGGGCTAATCACCCAGAGACCAAATGATCAGAGGATTAGAGCACTGGAACTTTGAGTCCATTCACCTTCAGGAAAGAAGGGTGAAGCAAGGCTGGAAAAGAAGCTTTATAAAAACTCTAGAACAGGACTGGGGCTGTGGCTCAGTGGTAGAGCACTTGCTTGGCATGTGTAAGGCCCTGGGTTCGGTCCTCAGCACCACATAAAAATAAACAAAGTAAAAAATCCATTGGCAACTAAAAAACAAAACAAAATAAAAAACTCTTGAATAACAGATTTTTTGGGGGAAGGTGGTACTAGGGATTGAATTTAGGGGTACTCTATCATTGAGCTACATCCCCAGCCCTTATAAAACTTTAAAAAATGTTTGAAACAGACTATGAGGTGCTAATTTTCTGAAGTTGGCCTTGAACTTGCAATCTTCCAGTCTCAGCTTCCCCAAGCGCTGGGATTGCAGGTATGGGTCACCAAGCCTAGGTTAATAACAAATTTGATGAGCTCCCAGGTTACTGAACAAACATGAAGGTGCTGGAGGGTGGTGTGAGCAGAGAGAGTGGGAATCCCACCTCCCATACCTTGCCCATGCAGTTCCTCATCTAGCGGTGCATCTGTATCCCTTGTGATGTCCTCTATAATAAACCAATAAATGTAAGTGTTTACCAGAGTTCTGGGAACCATCCTAGCACATAATTGAATTCAGGGGGTGGGATGGGTCACAGTAAACTTAATTTATAGCCAGTTGGTCAGAAGCACAGTCTTGTGAGACTGGCCCTTAACCTATAGGATCTAATGCTATCTCCAAGTAGATAGTACAAAATTGAATTGAATTAGAGGACACCTACTTGGTGTTCTCTAGAGAACTGCTTGATATGTGTGGGAAAAAACATCCACACATCTGATCACAAGAAGTGTTCTATGTTGAGCGTGAGAAGAGAAAAAAGTTTGTTTTTTCCATTATTATGTCCAACTTGACAAGACTGTATTTGTGAGTGTGTGTATATAAACAAATACACATACGCAAACATATGCCTTTTAAAACCACAAAGGGATATAGAAATGCTAAACATTTTTTAAAAAAAATATTTATTTATTTTTAGTTTTCGGTGGACACAACATCTTTGTATGTGGTGCTGAGGATTGAACCCTGGCCGCACGCATGCCAGGCGAGCGCGCTACTGCTTGAGCCACATCCCCAGCCCAAGAAATGCTAAACATTTAAGTGATTAACTATGATGCTAACTGTAAGCAGGACAAGAATCTGGAAAGGAAAACTAATGTGGTCTAGATTTGTTAGAGAAGGGGTTCATGGAAGGAGTGGATCTCAAAGGATGGATGTGTAGGATTTGGATGGATGGAAGGGAGATCCATTCTGAGCCAGGAGAGTAGTGTGAGCATAGGGGTATGTAGGCAAGAATGGGCCACCAGCCTTCTTGGTGGGTGTGATGAAGAGTAATGGAAATATAAGTATAGAAATGGTGGAGACAAAGGATATAGGAACTTGACAGGCAGGTAAAGGAGTCTGACCTGACATGACAGAAGAAAGGAAGAACCTTGAACAGGCGTATTTCAGGAAGACTCATTCACCCAACATGGAGAGTCACATAGTATGTTCCAGGAATTCTGCTTGATGCCAGAGGTGTAGTGGTGATTGAAACAGACCATGAAGAGTGAAGGGATCTGACCAGGTGATTTCTAAAATCTTCCTGGGTTATAACATTTTGTGATTTGAAATAATGATTACCTTATAGCAAACTCATGGATCATCTAGCCACACCACTAGTCCCAATTTAAGGGACATCTGTAGTCTAGTGTGCTGATTTGGCTTACATTGTGTGTTAGAGTCTGTAAACAAGTCAAAAATAACACCTGGCATTTTGCCAGGGGAATGTTAGAGTTCGTAAACAAGTCTGGATGGTGCCTGGCAAAATGCCAGAGGGAGTGGTTTGAGAAGTAACAAAAGCAAGCCATTAAGTGTGTGGAATGTATAAATACTGCTCCTGTCCTGCAATAAACGGCTCCCATTCCTGCTGTATCAATCTACACAAGTTCTTCGTCACCACCCCCCCCCCACCCCCCGTTATTTTGCTGCAGCCGGACTGCGGCAATTGTGAATTCATGTAGTTTATTCAGAAGGAAGGGGGAACAAGTTTATACATATATAATATGGGGCTAGTGATGTAGCTCAGGCATAGAGCACTTGCTTAACATGTGCAAGGCCTGGGTTCGATCCCCAGCACTGGAAAAACAAAAACAAAACCCAGAAAACTCCCACATTCACCCCCCAAAAAACTTTGTTCAGTTCATATTTCAGGAGCCTGTCCTGAATGACCATGGAGCCCATAAAGACAATATAGTTACCTCAGTAACACAGATCTGTTTGCTTTTCCATGGTCATATTTTACTTTGGGGAGTGGCATTATTCAATTTATTTTTAAAATAGTATTTAGGACACTGAAGATACATTATGTATGCATGGAAAAGAAATCTTGCCTAGATGACTATATGCCCAGTGCAAAAAACACTAACTCTTTTAAACAGTTTGCTATTCATGTGGATCCTAAAATTAAAAATAAATAAAAACAGCTGGCTCATGATGATTTTGTAAAGAAAACTTCAAATATACAAAACCCAGATGGTTGGCATTGAATAATAAAGGTAAATATCACTGAATAAATATCAAATGAATAATCCTGGCCAGTGAGAATTTCTGCCCAGTTTCATTCCATGAAGATTATTTTTAAAGTAGATTTCTTCATTCATCATGAAGAAATATGCATGACAAACTTGAACCAAATGCCTGAAAAGTTGAAATGTATTAGAAAATTCTAGTAGCAAATAATAACTGATTCCAACTACTTCATAGCCTGAGAACTCACTTCCAGACTTGTGAAAAATGCTTCCTTTAAAAAACAAATTAGAAATCAACAACAGGCAGAGATTTTGGAAATTCACAAATATGGGGAAATTAATACATATTTAAGTGAATGAATGAATGGAGAAATTATAGAATGATTGAAAATAACACAAATAAATAATAAAAAATTAAATTAAACATATCTTTTAAATTTGTTTTTAGTAGTGACTTATAGTTTTATATAATTGTGAGGTTCATTTGACATATTAATAAATGCATATAACATAATTTGTTGCATTTTTAATTCCCTATACTGATTCCTTCTTTCTTCTCTTCTTCTTCCTGATCCCCTTCCTATCCTTTATTGCTCTTTCTTCTAATAATTTTGTTTAATAATAAGAAAGTAAACTTTTTTTTAGTTGTAGATGGACACACATTTATTTTTATATTTATTTATTTTTATGTGGTGCTGAGGATCAAACCTAGTTCCTCACACATGCTAAACAAGTACTCTACCACTGAGCCACAACCCCAGCCCTAATAGTTTATTTTTTAATTGGTACATTATAATTAGACATAAGAGTGGAATTCATTGTGACATAGTCATACATGTGTATAGCATAGTTTGGTCAATTTATTTCAGCAGTCCCTTCACTTTCCCAGAAAACATCTATCTTAAAAAGGGAGAAGCTGGGTTTGGTGGTGCCACAACTAATTAATTCCAAGGACTCAGGAGGCTGAGACAGGAGAATTTCGAGTTCAAAGCCAGCCTCAGCAATAGTATGTGCTGGCTCTTGATATTTTTTCTCAGAACTGGGGATGGAAGCCAAGGGTGCTCAGTAACACCTTTTTATTTTTTATTTTGAGACAGGATCATGCTAAGTTGCCTAGACTGGCCTAGAACTTGGCAATCTTCCTGCCTCAGCCTCCCAAGTTGCTGAGATTGTGTCCAGCTATGTGCTGGCTCTCAAATATGCCCTTGAGCAGAAAAGACATGGTCCCTGCTCTCAGAGAGCTTACAGCAGAGCAGGGGAGACAACCATATAATCACAAAAAGACTAATCACACATTATTACTATGAAGGAAAGATGTTTGAGGCTATAAATCTTTGGTCAACTTGGTATACTAATACTGGTCTCTACCTGACAACTATAATGATTAGACACTATTATTACAATATCCTAAGAATAAACCTTTTTAAAGAAAGCACTATGAATTTTACTATTTAGGGGTACAATAGCCCATTTAAACTCTAATTTCTGGGATTTGGTGAATTTATATTAAGTTTAGCAGTGTTTGTTACAATAGGGACTTTCAAATTCAACATTTATGTATTTTTTATTAGTATGGGAAATCTTATTTATCATTGTGCAAAAAAGTAGAAGCAGATAATTTTGCTTGACAGGTGAACTTCTTCCATGTTCAGCCCATCTTTTTCTTTTTCCTTAAGTTTTTCTTCAGTCCATTTTTCAATGGTGATTATACTCAACTGCTCCTGTGCCATCTCCAGTCCAGCGGTCCTGAGAAGTTGAAGGGCAAAACTGACTTCAGTAGCTTACCTCTATTTAATGATGGGAGGATCACTTCTAGGAAAAGTACTATAATGAAAAAGGGACTTTTAACTACCTGGAAGAGTTCCACAGCACTTACCCAGCTTCCTCACTGGGGTCAACCCCTTGACTCCCATCCTGTTGAAGGACAGGCACTTTTGCCTGGTCTGCAGCTGCTGGTTAACAGCTGTACAACCTCAGAGCTCAACACTTTTATGATGAGCTCACCGCTCCCAATTAAAGAACCAATATCGCTATGTTCCAACACGGCTTCTTGTCTTACAAATGTATCTGGAACTAATGGACAGAAGTACTTTCTACTTCACAGGACTTTCTCAACCCGATTTTGGCAATTTTCTTCTCACTTCTTATTACCCCCGCCCCCGCCCCAGTGCTGGGGATTGAATCCCGGGGTTCCGCGCTTGCAGGGCAAGGGCTCTCTACTCCCGAGCTGCAACCCCAGACCCGTCTCACCAACCCCTTTCTCCCTCTTTTCCTCATACACCACTCGATTACCTATCAGACCCAACAGTTTAGCCTTTTTTACTGGAGAATGAGAGAGCCGAACTTGAGGGATGAGGTGATGTTAAAAATGTCTTGGGGTCGGGGGAGAAGGGGCAGGTGCACTAACAGGATCCCCGGGCAACCTTCCTCCAAATGGTCAGTCCCAACGCTCCGTCCTCTTCCCTTGGACCCGGCTACCACAATCCCAGGAGGAGGCGAATCGAGCGAGGAGGACCCGATCCTCGGCCCGCCGTTCTCCTCCCACCTCGGGTCTCATTCTGCCCCGAACTCGTCTAGGCGCTGAGCCTCCGGGCTGCTGAGGAGCCGCGGCGGCGGCCACTTTGATTGTTACGCTCATTCAACTTCACGGAGTGCAGGAGGCCGCCGCCCAGCGCCGCCCGAGTCCCGGCTCGCGAAGGAGCTCAGGCGAGCAAGGCGCAGCCGTCGCCCGCGGTCTCCAGGCAGCAGCCCGCGTTCTTCCGGCAGCCGCCCGCGGTGGGGGAGGGGCAGCGGCGCCCGCGTTCTCCCGGCCCCGGCGGCCGGCGGAAGGGCCGCGCGTCGCGGAAGCGCGACCGCAGCTGAAGATCAGCTGCTGAGGGAGGCGGAGAAGCGGAGGGAGGAGCCTAGGGGGGAAGGGGAGGGAGGGGACCGTCAGGAAGCCGCGAACGCCACCGAGTGTCTGCACACCTCTCTCTGTCTGCCATGGCTGGTTAAAGAACCAGCCGGATCGCAGCGCGGGGGGAGGGCCGGGTGGGGGGAGCGGCGGCCGCGCGTGAGGCCGAGGGAGGGGCGGCGGCGCGAGCGGCGGCGGCGGCGGTTCCAGCATGAAGAGGAGAGCTGGCCTGGGGGGCAGCATGAGGTCAGTGGTGGGCTTCTTGTCCCAGCGGGGCTTGCATGGGGACCCCCTGCTCACTCAGGACTTTCAGAGGAGACGCCTGCGGGGCTGCAGAAACCTCTACAAGAAGGACCTCCTCGGCCACTTCGGCTGTGTCAATGCCATTGAATTCTCCAACAATGGAGGCCAGTGGCTGGTCTCAGGTAAATCAACCCCCTTCCCCTCCCCGCGCCTCCCGGCCCCCTTCCAGCCTCCCCTTTCGCTCTCCCTTGCCACCCTCCTCCTGCCCTCCGTCCCCACCCCCTCCCCTCCAGCCCCTCTCCCGCGGTGGGAAGATTTGGTGTCAAATTAAAACCATTGCAGGGGGAGGGAGGGAGGGAGGGAGGAAGGGGAAGGAGAGGATGTCTTCTATATATATATATATATAAAAGACCTAAAATGGTTGACAGGTCCTTAATTCGCTTTATCCTAAGTGCAAAGTGATCTCCCCTGACGACTGCCGCGGGAGTGTGGGTCGCGGAGGGGTGCGAGGTTACCGCTTGACAAAGTTTGATGGCAAACTCTTCCTCCGCGTACTTTAAATGGTGCGGGGGGCATTTTGGGGGATTTGGAGGGGGAGGAGGCCGAGGTGCGCCGGAGGCAAGGGGGTGTTCGAGCCCCCGTCGCTGGTGTCATGGAGAAGGGACCGAGGGCCAGGCGGTTACAGGGCCTTACGCCCAGGGTCCAGGGGCTTCGACCTGGGGCTTGGTGGGGTCGGCCGAGGGGAGGTGACTGGCGGGTTCCTGTTAGCCCCCCCCCCCCACACCGTGCTCTTAGGGCCCAGCTCCATCTCCTGTGGTGCCGTGGTTGCCTCTTCCGCGACTTGTTTTTATTATGGTTTCGAGAGTGACGAGGGCTCTGGAGGCTGAGGGACCCCAGCCTGAACTTGAATGCGCAACTCACTAGGCAGGGGGTCGCTGAGCGACCCCCGGGAGGCTAGTTGGCGGGAGCCAGACGCCCGCATCCCTTTTCCCCCTGAGGTTGCCCTTGCAGGTGGTCTGTGCTTCTCCTCCCCCCCTGCCCAGCTGGGCCTGATTGCCCCCAAGTTCCCCCTCCGGTGTGGGGAAAGTGGCGAAATCGAGACCGGGGCTCCGGCCGGACGGTGTAGGCCTCGCTCTCCCGGGGCTCCTAGCGACAGGCAACTGAATCGATAGCCTATTGCTCCCGGGGAGGCCCCGGCCGGGCTGGCGGCGGCGACCGCTGCCCCGGGCGAGGTGCGCCAGCCGCCGTTGGGGGCGCTCGCCGCCACCGCCCCTTCCTCCTGGGGGTCGTGGCCCGATGCGAGGCGGGTGGGGATGAGCTTACGCAGGGGAGGGGGCGGCTCCCCGAAACCCGGCTGAGAGGAGGAGGGCGGCCGGGCGTTCCTGCTCGCCGCCTGTCCTCTTCCGTCCCTTTTCCTACATTGGGAAGGATGAAGGGGGAGCCCAACGCTGGACGTGGCGCTTAGCTGCACCCAGGTCGATCCTCAATGGCTTTCTAATTTGCTTCAGTAGGCGGCTCGCCAGAAACTTCTGGGATCATGGCTTAGCATCTGTCTTAGTAAGTTACAGTCGGAAGTGACTTGGGGGGTAGGGTCCAGTTTGGGGGTACAGAGATAAGGCTTCTGTGATGTGATCATTGCACGGTAAACCTGGAATTTCTCCAGAACTGACCTGACTTTTCCACCCCAGATCGTTTTCTCTTTGACTATGTAGACTTTGGCCGTAGAACATCAGAGGAAGAAACCTGATATTATGCTTCAAACAGACCCCCCACCCCCGAACAAAAGCTTCCTTCCCCTACACCTCCCGTATAAATTTTTACCCAATTTCAAGACACAAACGGAGAGAAAATCTCTTTATTAAAAGAAGGAACGTCCAGTTTCCCCCCAGTTGCTTCTTCTGTACATAATACTCATGTCTTCTCAGACCGATGTATTCCAACAGAGGTGTTCCCAGACACAAGTCAACTTTTCTGTTGACCTGAGGGGAATATCAGAGTTCTCTTTCACAGTCAACTGAACTAATCATGTTAATTAAATCATAACTACTCACACATTGCCCGGTTTAACACATTTAAAAAAATACGTTTATTGAGAGATAATTTACATAACAGAATGTACCCATTTAAAATTGATACATTTTAAAGAGCACTGAAAAGTTCTCTCCAGTACTCGGGCACTGTGGCTGCCTGTAATCCCAGCGACACAGGAGGCTGAGGCAGGAGGATCACAAGTTCAAAGCCAGCCTTAGCAATTTACAAGACCCTATCTATTTATAAAAGAAGGGCTGGGGATGTGGTTCGGTGGTTAAGCGCCCTTGGATTCAATCCCCAGTCCCACCCCTCCCCAGAAAGAAGTTCTCCATATTCCACCAGTTATTACCTCCCATTCTCTCTGTGTGTGCGGGGGGGGGGGGGGGGGCCGCGGGGGGGGAACGGGGGGGGGGGGGGGACTATTGCTGGCCATCAAACCCTGAGAGAACCTGGCGCATGCACGCTATATCTGTAGCCTCACTCCTCTTATCCTTATGCAGGATTTTCTGTCTTATGTGAACCCCAATTTTATTTCTAGTCTTGGCTAGTTAACTTCCTTTAGCTTAATTTTAGCCTGTAGAAGAGAGGGTCCTTTGCACAGGGCAGGCTCTTGTTCTAGAAATTCATTTCCTTACTTTTTTTGGTCTGAACTACCGGTTTCCATTAGTGCTTCCTGGGTTCCAGACTCCTTTGCCCATTGCTCCTCCCTCCCCCACTTTCCTCTCAGTTCTTCCTGTTTCCTTTTTATCTACTTCTGCCCTAGTTCTTAGTCCTTCCAGTAGGTTTTTCCACTGACCCCTCAAGTTTGGCTCCAAAGAACATAGTTTTGTTTAAAGCCTTTTAAGCCATTTGCCTTCCATTATGAGTACAGCTTGTTAGAAAGTTCCTCCTATTTGCTTCAGATAAGGAATCCCCCTTTGGGAGTTGTAATACACCTTAACTTGGTTAAAGCCAATTAATTTTTTTTTCCTGGAAAGTCCTTCAATAATCTTCCCAAGTTTAAAACGATTTCACCAGCCATGTTTATGTATTTTTTTCTTATCTATCATTATCACTTACTAATTCACAGTAGATTGGTGGGATGCCAGATTCTGGGAGGTTTTAAGATTTCTTTTGTGCATTTTGTTGTTTTGTGTCTTGCCTGGATTAGTTAAAGCCCATTGAGGGAGGCAATTAAAATGATAGATCGTTCATAGTTTGTTCAGTGTTTTCATTTACTAATTGGGTAGTTCTTTTTTCTTTTTGTAACTGACACATAGTATTTGATAGAATTAACTTAGACCCAGGGCAAAAATAATATTTGTATGATTCTTGTGACCATATAAGATGCTATTAATTATGGGTTTTATCAGGCCTGCAGTAAGAGTAAACCAGAGAAAATCAGGACCCAGAAAAGTGCTTTATTAGGAAATAAGATTATGGCAGTGACAAGTAGGAGAATGGTTATTTGACACTTGAAAACATTAAAATATTTCAATATAAAAAGTGTTTTTCTTTGTTGTTGGGCAGAAAAGGGTGTCACTGTGATACCATGTTAAGGCAGTGTAATATAGTGGACATGTCATTAAAATCATTGTTGTCATTTAAAATGTGATTTTTTAGTTGTTACTAAGCCTCTCTGAGCCCATTTCCTGAGGTATACAGTGGGAATACCAAGGCCTACCTGAAGGGCTGCTGTTAGAGGTATGTTAGGCAGGGTATGGGTTGGGTTCAGCACAAAGTGCCAGGCCTTTCAGAGCAAAAGCTGAGATTTTCTTTCCCTTTTGTGCTTATAACATATGGTGTCATTCATAGTTGGCACTTGTTCTTAGAGGATTGGTAATAGACCTGTGCAAACTGGGTAACCAGGATAGTTTTGTGACTTTTAGATGAGAAATAAAGAGGTACAATGTGGTGTGGAAAGCACCTGGGATTTGATGTTATTTGATTTGAGCTGGAGGCTCTTCTAGTCACAGATTGTATGAATTTAGCCAAACCACTTCATTTCTCATCCATAAAATGGTTGTAACAGATTGCCCTAACTACCTGACAGGATGGCAGTAAATGGTCAATGAATGTTATATGTGAAAGTGTTTAATAAGCTACTTGTAATAAATAAATGTTACTTTTTATAAGTCCAGCTTATGCTTGATGATTATTGTCTTTTCTTAGAATATATGAGTATTAGTCCTTTAAAGGATGAGAGAACAACATTGTTTGTTGAAGTGCTTCTTACAAGAGATCTTAACAACATTAAGGAGGTTGGGATACTTTACATATTTTGGGGATAACTTGTTTTACCTTTTAGGTCTTTGGTTGCATTTAGAATGGACTTTAATTAGTATTGTGCTGGAGATTGAACCCAGGGCCTTGAGCATGCTAAGCACATGCTCTATCATGGAACCACATCCTTAGCTCCTAGGATGTACTTTAAATTGCCTTCGCTGCCTCCTCTTATGCTTTTCCTTTTCCCTATAATGGGGTCCTTTATATATTTTCCTTTTTTTGCAGTACTGAGAATTGAATCCAGGGGTGCACTACCACTGAGTTACATCCTCAGCTCCCTTTTTATTTTTTATTTTGAGACAGGATCTTGCTAAATTGCCAGGGCTGGCCTTGAACATTAGATCTTTCTGCCTCTGCCTCAGCCTTCTGAGAAGCTGGGATGCATCACTGCACCCAGCTTATGTTTGCTGTTTTCTTTGAGGAGAAGATGAACATTTTGGGGGGGATTTGATTGGAAGGCCAGTCAGAAAGCAGCTCTGTGTGTATATGATTTGGAATATAAATTGCCTTCCTACATTTTGTAAAGGGTTTGTGAAAACATGCATCTTAGAAGCAAACAAAAATAAAGATTCTGCTCTTTGGTGATGAGAGTTGTTATAATAATATTTCCTCTTTATTGAAGCTTAAGGCATTGGAACCTGTAGAGCTAGGAAATTAATAGCCCATAAATATGAAGTTTTGAATTACAGTGAGAGATTATGATCTCTTTTTGTGCCTATGACTAAATGTAGGAAAAGTACCTTCAGAAGCTTTTCAATAGCAACTGTGCTGTTTCAGCAACTATGCTGTTTCAAAGTGTTAATTAAGTAGGAATTGTGAATGGGGAGAGACATTTAGTTGCTTGGTCATAATGTTTATAATGGAGATAACTATTAAGCCTCTATCT